GACAAATTGCAGCTATTTTAAAAGCAAACGGTGGCCCTACACCTTATTAATTAACAAATGTTATGTGTTAGTCAGGTGTTAGTTAGGTGTTTACATTATTTTGTCCATGCCCTGTATAAATTCTTTTATAGTAAGTCAAATTTAATGTTCCATGTTTGTAACGATTCAGTTATGTGGTTCGTGATTTGCAAGTAGTCAAATTTTATGTCAGGAAGTTTGAAAATTATCCTATTCAACCCTAATAAAATTAGAAATTTATTGTAACTTACCATTCGGATTTTTGCTTACTGATTATATTATTTGTAGGCTATATGTTAAAACTTTTATATGCAGTCACAATTTTATACATTGTAAACGTAAAACAAGGACAATAATCCCGTTTGAATAGCGCGTGGCTCTTTGCGTAACTGCTATATTGGTCGCTTGACTTATCGTATGAGAGATGAGAGATTACACGGGTCTTCGACTTTGAATCACAGCTGTAGTCGGACGCGTGCGAGATTGGTGTCCGTTGTAGATACATATACAGGGTGTCGGATTCGATTTGGACGACTCCAAAGATTATAGTAGATTGGGTCACACTGAGAAGAAAAGTTATATACCATTTTACAAAATCCGTAATTATTATCGCGTAATTAAGAAAAACGTCTGAGCCAATAAGTGCACAGAGGAGCGGAAGGCCAGACTCGGCAGACATGCAAAATGGCGTGTTTGTTGACATCTCTCAAGAATCGATAGCGAGAGGTAGAGTCACGCATCGATCGATGAGAGACGGGGGCGAGCGGGGAGCGGTGAGCGGGCGAACGGCGCGCAGCGAGAGAACGCGCGACATATGACACCACGCCGAAAAAGTTTTTCTGGTGGTAGGAGAATAATACACCATTTTGCATGTCTGCCGAGTCCGGCCTTCAGTTCCTCCGTGCACTTATTGGCTCAGACGTTTTTCTTAATTACGCGATAATAATTACGAATTTTGTAAAATGGTATATAACTTTTCTTCTCAGCTTGACCCAATCTACTGTAATCTTTGGAGTCGTCCAAATCGAATCCGACACCCTGTATACCGTGTGTTATCCTATTCGTTTTGTGCTTCGGACGACCGTGAATAAAGTGCCGTTAAGTCTAGACTGTGTCCTATTGCTAACATCTCAGAAATCTCGTTCTTCCTCTTTATTTCTGATTCATGCTCTTTCCGCTAACTTTCCGTTAACCCTAACCTTACCTAACTTCCCAATTGGAAGAGCTCTATCTCATATAGCAGAAAATTAAAATAATGTTGCTGAAACGTTGAATGTTGAAGTATAAATATTTTTTCTACGTTGAATCTAGGTTAATGTTTATACATTAATTCTTTATATTGCTGCAACGTTAAAACAATCTTGAACAACATCAGTGATTTTTATTTTAACCGTATCTGGCAATTTTTATAATACAGAAAATTTATTGCGAAAAATATTACCTCAGCCAGGGTTTGAACCTGGACCTCTCTTCTCTCTAGACGGGCGTCTCAACCAATTCGACCACCGAAGCATATGATAATATTAGTTGCAATAACAGTATATAGATGTTGTTTACGCGTCTATTTTGACTTTTTTTTAGAACTGTGCGCCGATAAGAGTTGTTGACCGTACATAGAACTGTCGATACGCGACTTTTAAATTTCTCTGTCTCCTCCCTCCCCCGTCCATTCCCCCTATTACGGAGGAACACCATGTTTGAGGTCAATGGTGTATAATCAACTAGTAAGAATATTCTTAAAAGTCGCCAGCAGTAATTAACAGCTATTTGTGGCGATCGTGGCGCAGAGAATTGTGCGCTGGTCTGGTAATCCGAAGACCTGGGTTCAAAACCAAACAAAACATTGTTGTTTTCGTTCGATTGCCACATAGAGAAGTGGATATAGAGAGAGGTGTTATAAGAGGTTTGGGCACGTTCCTTCAAAAACACCTTGTAACCCTAAAGGGAATCAATAAAATGTATTTACATTTACATTATTTACAATTAACAGCTATTTATTGATTAACATCAAACCCGGGCTGAGGTAATATTTTTAGCAATAAATTTTCTGTATTATAAAAATTGCCAGATACGGTCAATAAAAATCACTGATGCTGTTAATTACTGCTGGTGACTTTTAAGAATATTCGGTAAATGTGCATAAAAAGACCCCACCTTCCG